TTTATTCAATGAATTTTATAAGGATCTGAAAGGGCGTCCGCAGGACTTAATTTTCTACTTGTTTAAGTAATTTTTCAAATAGAAAATCTAATAAACACGTGTATACCAGTCATAAGCCATACACGAATGCACAAACCTTGCATAAACAAAGCAAACTTTAAAATTTTACGGTTAGTTCGAGCAGAAAGTTTGGGTTTGATAACGGGTTATTGACGTAATGGACCCAAATGTTTCCTTGATAAGATGATTTTGCGATGAGAATCGTAATATTTCTCACTTTTGCAACGATGCCAGTGTTTCCAGTTTCTTAAACTGCGTTTCAATAAACGCAGTTTCTGAAACGTACCGAAACGCTGGTGAAAACGGTCCGTCGTTAAACGCGTTTAATTTCGGCGTTTACATAAACTTAGTTTCATCAAACTGCGTTTCGCGTGTTTATGATGAAAATGGGCCATAGTTGTTTGCAAATTTCAGTTTTTAATAACAATTATTTTTTTACTATTTTTTCTGTCCTTCGAAAACATCCCCAGACCACCTCCAGAGGAATGACGTAAATTTTGAATCACCCTGTATTAACTGAACCTTTTATAAAGCAGGAAAAATGTCAATAAAATTTTGTTATAAATTAAAAATTATAATTGGCTGGGGCTGTAAATATTTCCTGTATAAAGGACAAAATACATCAACAGTAAGGCGGACGAAAGAACGGATGTGTGTTTAACTGAACAAAATATGATTAAAACTTGTAACGAGCGGTTCCGATTTGATAAACACTTATCACAAGGGCCCTTCGCAATAAATCCCCCTTCGCAGCTCAGAGATACAAATTAAAGCCTGCGGCTGATTTTCACAAACTTGTTACAAATTTCGACAAACCAAACAACGTTAACATTGCTATCTCGAGTTGCCCTTTGTCTCGTCATGGCTGCCCGGGTTTGTCCAATATTGTGACCAGTTTAACGGGTTATCTATTGTTGACGGCTTTTATGTTGTTTGCTTACCCAATCGAGAGCGTCCGCTCCCAATTCTAATTAAATTTTGCACACTTTAATTTTTTCACATTTAATTTATTTCAGATGTTTACTACGTCATTATTTGCAATCGAAACTTTTTCATCTTACAATAATGGTGGTGACTCCATCCATGTATAGGTTTAAAGGTGGACGTCACATCGCAATTAAAATTCAAAAAAAAAATTACAGGATGTACTTATACTCTTCCATGCTTACTTACTGTAGCGCAGGTGAGCATCATTAAATCCAGAAAGTCGTTGAAATGCAATGAAATAGTTGATTATGACGAATGTCAACAAAAACCTCATGTAAACGGTTATGGTTCAATGACATATTTAGAATTGTGTTGTCCAATCACAAAAAGTTTTCGAACTTCTGCCCGTGTAATCTTTTTATTATGCACTCTTCGCCAGACTTTTTGGGCTCCCATTTTGAGCACCTTCTCCAATTATACTATTTAACTCGTTATCGATTTGCACCGGTGTTCAGTAGACCAGACATTTAATGAATCATGTGTATATTACCAACATGGTATGAACGTTGCCCTTCTTCGGTATTTATCCAGTGCATAGTTGCCGGAAAAGTGTCAGTTGTGCATCGCTCCGAGTAGTTCTGGAAGGCTTTGCTGCAATTATGTTCACTACCTGTTCCTCAATGTCTGAAACCCGAATACCTCTTGGTCGTCCACTATCAACCTCAATTACTAAAGCCAATGGTCCAATGGCTATATCTCTTGTTGGCGTAAATTATAACAGTTTCTGCTATATTACTGGGACATTTCCACATAACTACTAGTATAACCGCATATAAAGAAGCGTGAATCATTAAAACAATTTGACAAATGCTTGTTATTCTTGACAAAATATATTTTCCTGTAAATTCCCGATAATGACAAAAAACGTTGATGCCGCTTTAAATATCCGTCAAAAACTTGTGAAAGAGTACTTTTCTAAATAATAAATTTTCATGATTTGAAGTAAAAATGGCAAATTTTATTGTAGTGCAGAATTGGCAGATTTATTGCTATAGAGTAATTCTGAAACATTTCGGATTGTCCATAATTTGAAAAATTATATAACTAATTGGTCTCATTTGTTTTGGTCTAATAAGTAGATCAATTTAAAATATTGCACCTCTTACTCACCGGAACGTCGATGCCAAGACAAGTTTCAAAAGAGACATCAATTTCACTTCAAACTAACCCGGGGTTATGGGATAATCAAGCTGTTCCAGAACGAAATCAGATTAATTATT